ACTTTTTTTGATTGTATCCCTTTGGTATATATGGTCATGCCACTTTCCTTCCACAAATTGATCTGAGGAAGTGGGTCTGGCCCACAAAAGCTCATCACCTAATAACCCATCTTGTTAGTCTTTAAAGTGCAGCATAGTCCTCTCTTCAGATATCAGATAGATAGAATTCTCTCCTGGGGCTTTGGATCAGGCCCTGGAAGAACCAGGATGGTGTATCCCTCTCAATTTATTTCCTGTTAGCCAGAGAGTCGTGCAATAGTGGACATCAGCCGCTCTCATTTTCTCCTCAGAGATGCCAGTGCCAATAACTAAACTCTAGGTCAGACAGAACATGGGATGCTGAGGGCCAGCTTGGTAAAGATATTCAGGCTCATAACTTCCACTTCAATCCATTTAAAAATCTGGACCGTGGTCCATAAACATAACTTCCACTAACTTAATGGGAGGTAGGCACTTCAATCCATTTAAAAATCTGGACCGTGGTCCATAATGAAAGCAGCCCATTTAGCCAGATGTCTATTTCATTTCAAGCAGCTTCATAGCAAGAAACAGCAAGTCTTTTTCTCTGTGGTCCATATGAGACAGTTCCCTCTGTATATTCCTGCCAGCATGATTCACTTCACCTTCAGAACCATAAGCTAAATATTTGTCTACAAGAACCAAGAACATTCCAAGCACTCACATCTGGGGTATTTCACTCAGGGGCTGGTTACAGTAGTTACAAAAAAAGAGTTGTGAAATATTTATATGTATAAACACTAGAATGACTGTGCAAGGTGATGTAAGAGATTACTGCTCTGTGCACTTAAAAGGATAGTCAGCTACCATATGCAAATGATGAGGTCACTGCTTGGTTGGATTTCAAAGTCTATTTATACTGAAAACCTGGCATTTTTTCCAAACCACATCCATTTTTTCAACCCAAAAGTGACCATATCCTGTTGCTTCCACAGAAGATGGCTGTAAAAGTTCCCATGCTTTTTCCGTGTCATGTCGGAAACGTCTGTGCTCTACAGGAGTCTGGTCTTTATCTTCCTCTTGGTCTTTATCTTTTCTTAGTCCAGAATATCAGTTTCTTTCTTATGGACAGATTGTTTTTCCTCTTTGCCGGCTATTCCATTATACCCATGTACTACGTGCGCACATATTACATGTGTGCGCACACATGTTCGTGTCTTCAGCCATGGAGTGACTAAATTTCATTTCACTCAGTTTTGGGTAGGACACTGCATGACAAATGCTTGGATGGGGATCATAATTTCCATCTTCAATATTAAAAATTTGTCTTTAAGTGTGTACCCACGCAGATCCTGGTTATTTAAACTGCTGTACTCTGGGTGTCCCTAATACAGGAACACCAGCGGCAGGGGGGAGGAAGTGGCTCTGTGTGTTGTTGTTCCCTAACCCCCTCAGGCCCTGCAGTGCTCTCTCTGCCCTCACAAAATCCTTAGTCCATCATATCCTACTTCCCAGAGTTGCCGGATTAAAGAGGTTTGAATGTACAAAGCTCACGAGAAGAGGGCGCAATGATCCTTCCATCATATATATTTACAGGAGCTGCACAAGCAGACTTCAGGCAGGCTCACAGTCCTTGTAATCCTGGTCTGTGAGAACCAGAGACCTCAAGAGTTTGTCTAGACCAGGCCTGCACAACATGCGGCCTGCAGGGGCTCACTCTGTGGCCTGTGCCGGTTTGAATGTACAAAGCTCACGAGAAGAGGGCGCAATGATCCTTCCATCATATATATTTACAGGAGCTGCACAAGCAGACTTCAGGCAGGCTCACAGTCCTTGTAATCCTGGTCTGTGAGAACCAGAGACCTCAAGAGTTTGTCTAGACCAGGCCTGCACAACATGCGGCCTGCAGGGGCTCACTCTGTGGCCTGTGCCGACCCTGGGCGGTGCGGCCCCATCTGATCCGCCGGCTGGATGGAGCGGAGCACCACCAAGGAGGGGGAAGTGCGGTGATTCTCGCCGCTGGGCTGCCAGCATGCAGCTCCGGCGTGAGGAGGCAGGGCGCGAGCCAGAGGGCGGGACGCCGGCAGACGCCAGGATGCTAGCGTGACGTGGCGTTGTGATGTCACGGCTGGCAAACACCAGATTCAAAAAGGCTCCGGCAGCCCCGCAAACTGGAAGGCAGAAGCCAGGCAGGGGAGGGAGACAGGTCAGGAGAAAGGGGCAGGCATCAAGTGGAGACACGTGTGGGGTTTTTTTTTTGCTCTACAAAAATTTTTAGCCTGCGTGTTCGGTATATTTTAGGAGAGCATCCCTACTTGTGGCCCGCAGCTGTTTTCTTTGGAGTAATATAGCCTTCGCCGCTTTCCGAGTTGTACAGGCCTGGTCTAGACTACAGGGATTTTTCAAAAAAAGGCCTTTTTTCAAAAAAAAATCTTCCCCTGTGTCTAGACTGCTGCCGCGTTCTATCGACAGTAAATTGAAAGGACGTAGCAGTTTCTGACCACGGAAAACCTTGTTTTACGAGGAAGAATACCTTTTTTTGAAAGTGCTCTTTTGAAAAAAGGCGCTATGTAATGCAAACTGTGCTTTTTCGAAAGGTTGCATCCAGACTGCCTGGATACTCTCTTTTGAAAAAGTGGCTTGCTTTTTCAAAAGTACTGATTGTAGTCTAGATGCTCTTTTTCGAAAGAGGCTTGCAGTCTAGATGTAGCCCAAATGCCAACAGCATTGCTAGAAACATGGAGAGATGAAGCACTTGTGGCTTTCAGCCTGTCTATACTTATCCAGCAGGACTGAGTCCAGGCAGAGAAATGCACACTGTACCAATGTATCCTCAACATTCCCGGAGGTTTTCTATCTGCTTCACTGGAAAATGTAAGACCACTTTTGGATGCCTAGTGATTACAAGCTTTCTGTTGGCCTTCAGCATATATAAATTGGCTATGCAGGAGGAGAGCTTTCAATGAATTTTAAGGATCAAAGAATGCAGCACTGAAGACATTTATCCCAGTCAATCCTTCAGAGGACTTTCAGCATTAAACAACATTAAAATCATTATCTATGGCTATTTACCCATAAGTTTGTTCAGTTCTCCTTGTGGCATAGCTTGGAAAGCTTCGTTGGTTGGAGCAAACACTGTGAAGGTACCTGCCCTATTCAATGCCTCCATAAGACCTGCAGATTGGATGGCAGCCACCAATGTACTGTAAAACACACACAACACACAGCTGTAAGCACTGCTTAATTTGCAATGAAAGAGGAACCAGGGCTCACACAATGTTGTACATTTAATTATGCAGCCATCCCAGAGCAATGAACTGCCAAGCCTACAGGTGCCAAAGCTCAAATTAAGCACAGGTTGTAGGTTTAAGCAAACGAAGCCTTACATTTATCATTTTTCTAACTGCAGAGTAACTGCTGTAATGTTAAAGCTACAAAATATAATAGGTTCTGACAAATAATTTAATTCACAAGAAGTTAAGGCCTAATCCAAAGTCCACTGAAGCCAACAGGAATCTTTCCAGTGACTTTGTTGGACTCTGCAGCAGGTCGCAGCTCACCTCGGGGTGTGAATCAGGATTTGAATGCAGGTTTCTAGGATTAACATATGGACGATTCTTCTTTTAGATCCCAATCCCAGCCCCCATTGAGTTGCTCTGGGGCCCTTTGATCATTGGAATCAAGGATACCATTGGGGAGGCAATAGAACAATTATGGACTCCCTTTTTAAACCCCATTTTTTATTTAAAGTTACGCTGCTTTTAATTGAGGGACACATGCACTTGGATGGCGATTCCACTAGGGGGCTGCACGCGCTGCTCGCCAACCCCCCTCTCGGCTGGGGGCGGGGCGCGGGGCAGGGCAAGGCTGCACCAGCCCAGGTTCTCCCACTGGTTGGGCTCAGATGGTGGAGGGGACCCAGCCCCAGCAGCTCCTCACTGCTGGCCCAGCTGGAGCAGCTGGGCCCAGCCAGGATGGAAGCGGGGCTGCAGGCTGACGTCATCTGTCGCCCCGCAGGAATGATCAATGAAAATAAACAATAGGAATATTTGATATATGTAGTGTAATGACTACAAATCCAGAATAGAAATTGCTTTGAGAGCTGTGCTGCTACTGCAAGACTAACAGCAAGAACAAAAATTCACATGATCTTTTCCAGTGGTTTTCAAACTTTTTTTTCTTGTGACCCAGTTGACGAAAATTGTTGATGCCCGCAACTCAACATAACACTTGATTAGAGTGTGGGCTCCGAAGTGGGGCGGAGGAGGAGAGCTTTGGCGTGTAGGAGGAGGCTCCAGCTTTGGGGGTGGGGAGTCAGAACTGGGGCAGGAGGGGCTTACTTTAAGCAGCTCCCTGTCAGCAGTGCGGCAGGGTTGCGAAGGCAGGTTTCATGCCTCTCCTGGCACCGCAGGCCATGCTGCACCCCAGAAGCAGCCAGCAGCAGGTTCCCAGCCAATGGGAGAGCGGAGCTAGTGCTTGGGGCAGGAGCAGTGCATGGAGTCCTGGACATCCTCCACCCTTTCCCCGCCTAGGAGATGGGCCTGCTGCCGACTGTTTCTGAGGCACAGTGCAGCATGTGGTGCTAGGACAGGCAGGTAGCCTGCTTTAGCATCCCTATTGGTCACCTGGGCCCCCTGCAGCAACGAGACCCAGTGCCTGACATTTCACGACCCACTTTGAAAGCCGTTGGTCTATTCTACAGGGGTTCTTATATTGCGCTCATCATCAGTGTCTGAGCACCTCAATGAAGGTGCATTCAGCAATGCGAGTACACACCTGAAGCGCCGGTCTGCTTTTAGAACATCCATAACGGTTCCTACTGGGGGAGTCAACATTCTGTCCACTGTAAACAAGGTGCCAAACCTTCCTCTCCTGTCGTGGGCAGCAATACAGACGTTCTCAATGCAGAGGTTCTGCAAATATAAACACAGGCAAAAGAAATAATAATCTGAAGGGATAGAAGATTTTAATTATTACATAAGGGTGTGTCTAGACTACATGGCTCCGTCGGCGGAGCCATGTAGATGAGTGTACTCAGCAAAGGGAAATGAAGCGGTGATTTAAATAATCGCTGCTTCATTTACATAAAAATGACCGCCGCGCTGTGCCAATCAGCTGATTGTCTGCACAGCGTGGTAGTCTAGACGGGTATCAGCTGACCCCAGAACCCTTTGTCGTCAGATCCTGTAATCCTCGTTGCACGAGACGACAAAGGGTTCTGGGGTCAGCTGATACCCGTCTAGACTACCACGCTGTGCAGACAATCAGCTGATTGGCACAGTGCAGCAGTCATTTTTATGTAAATGAAGCAGCGATTATTTAAATCACCGCTTCATTTCCCTTTGCTGAGTACACTCATCTACATGGCTCTGTCGATGGAGCCATGTAGCCTAGACACACCCTTACTGTTTGCATTTTTCCCCGTACAGACTTCGTTCAAGTTAACTATTTTTCCCCCCACTTCTTATGTAATTTAGCCCTTAACAGGCTCACACGTTTCACTTGAGGGCACCATTTTGCCTTCAGAAACTTTCCTACAGATGATGATGGATGGGAAAGGACAAACACAGCTCGACTCTCGGATTCTAAAATGAGTTTTCAGATCTCTGCTAAAATTCTGGCCCCACTGAATTCAGTGGCAAAATCCCATTGACTTCAATAGGGTCCAGTACTTCACCGCTGATGTGTTATCAGTGAGACACTACAAACCTGGAGCTCCCATTGATGCTATTTTACTGAAGCGCTTTGCAGAGCAACTGCCCTGCTACAGCAACAATACTGTCTCAAATTAAGAAAGCGAGTTCAATAGGTACTCACATTACGGTACACAAACACTCTCAGTTCTTTGCCACCCAGAGTTTCTAGCTTCTGTCCATGGTAAAGGTATTTAGAAGAAAGCTGTTCTTTCAGAATGTGATCTAGAAGCAAATTCTTCGTGTTGCTATTGATAGGAGGTGTCCCATCTGCAACAAAAAGCATTTTGACACTCAGGGATTCATTTTAACAGTATCATGAAGACTCTACATGGATCTAAATAATAAATACGGTATCTGTTTTGCGTCTGTTTCAAAAACAGTCCATGCACCCAGCTTAAGTGAGAGAGGTGATATGTGTTTGTTCATGCAGAAACCTCAATGAAGGAAACAGTGATTAACAATAGCAAAAATCTGATACAGAACTCTGGTTCCTCCCAGAAGCAAGATTGTGACCAGAACCAATGGAACACACAGAAGATTTCCAAAGTTTACCTTTGAACACGGTGTTTATTGGGGCAAGAAGCGTCACACGCTCACTTCCAGTGAGATGAGAGCTGAGATCCGCTTGTTTAAAAAGGTCAACAGATATCGAAACATCGGATTCTTTACCTAACTCAAACAAAGTTTTAGCTAAGGAAAAAACAAAAAACATATGTTAAAATATACAAAATGTTTTAATAATTTGTGTCAGCATGAGCACCATTTATTCGTCATTAGAAACATATTCTAATGAAAAATGCATATTGCTAGAAAGCAAATGGATACAAAACTACCACTCATTAGCGCTACTGATTTCCAGAGTATGTCGACTGGGATTTCCAAAGACACTGGAAAAAAATTATGTTTGTTCCCTCTGGGGCATATTGCATTGACCACAGTCAGAAGCCAGGACATTGACCTAGATGGACTGTTGGTCTGACCTAGTATAGACATTCTTAAGTCCAAGAAAGTTAGACACTGAATTTCAAAGAAAGTTGAATGTTTCAACTGTCTCAGGCACCTCTAGAAATCCCCACCTTGTTTTTTTGACTGACGAGAATACCTACCTTCTCTTTGCCCTCTGTTCGGTTATTTCCAACGAATCCTTCAGTAAAGAACTTTAGTACTTGAAATTAAAACACCCCATTTAACTGTAGTGATACATCATTCTATTGAAAAAAGCATATGTCCAAAGTAGGGTTGGAGAGGAAGAGCATAAGGAGACTACCTTTGAAAAGGTCCATGTTGACCTCCCTAAAGGATAATGAAAAACTGTGTATTTGTGCATGTAAATTCAGGTAACTCAGAAGCCAATTATCCCATGACATGCACAGTTACCTAATTTGTATGCAGAAATACAGGCTTAGTGTTGAAGACATGTGTGTCTGCATGGGGATGCTTGTTACATTCCCCGGTGAAAATTCCATCATAAAATATATTAAAACCCGACAACATGTTAAAAACCACTCAAAACAAAACAACCCCACAATATACCGATGAGTGGTTTTACCTGAGTCTGGAATCAGCAGCTCATTAACAAAGTGCACTACACCATTGGTCGCTAAGACATCCTTGTTCACAATGATAGGTCTTCCATTCAGGGTGAGGTCATCACCAATGCAGCCAACTTCCAACGTGGTACCGTCCAGAGTCTCCATGGACAAGCCAGCAATAATGGCCTCAGAACACATGGCTGATTTCAATATGTGATGGTTTAGTAGGTCTGGGCGAAAGAAAACACACATGATACATAGACTTTGGAAAGCCATTTTAGCAATTATTATGCATAGTGCCTACAAGTCCTAGTCAAGGACCAGAACCAGTAAACTGAGTGCTTGTGGGCCACTCTGGAGATTCAAATGCTACCCACCTGATTAGCAGAGTAGCCAGAGCCTGCACAATGTTTCTATTGGTGATGCACATTTGCACATGGCTTGGTGCACTCAACAAAATGTATTCCGTACATGGATGGAAAAATTAGGGGGAAACATTGGCCAAAATCCTATACAAAAAGGCTGTCCCAAAAGAGCTTGCAGTGACAGGTAAGATTTTACAGTCTATGGGCCACAAAACCTGCCCAAAAAGGAGTAACTGACAGTACTCTAGACTTTTTATATAGAATACAATCCAGTTCTTGCTACATTAGTGAAGATTTAAATTGAATTCTCTCTCCATTCATGTAAACAGGCAGACATTGCCATCTGTTAGGAGCAGAACCTTCACTGTGCAAGATGTGGATGACTATAATAGGAATGCAAGTGACTAGTTGACTACTTGCTAAGCCTAGGCTTATTGGGTAGTCGAGTCACTACTCTGCTAGTCGCTCCCCCCCCCCCCCGCCACCTCTGTATCAGAGGCAGCAAAGTGGAGGGGAACAGGAGCCATTGTTGGGAGGAGCTGGTTTAAAAGCTGCGCCTCTTCTTTTTAAATGTAGTAAGAGTCCCCAGACAACTGACCCCTGGACAGCCCAGTCCCAGACCGCTGCAGCTCTGCTTTTTAAATGTACAGGCAGTCCCCGGATTACATACAAGATAGGGACTGTAGGTTTGTTCTTAAGTTGAATCTGTATGTAAGTCGGAACTGGCGTCCAGATTCAGCCGCTGCTGAAACTGACTGCCAGTTCTGACTTACATACAGATTCAACTTAAGAACTGACCCCTGGACAGCCCAGTCCCAGACCGCTGCAGCTCTGCTTTTTAAATGTACAGGCAGTCCCCGGATTACATACAAGATAGGGACTGTAGGTTTGTTCTTAAGTTGAATCTGTATGTAAGTCGGAACTGGCGTCCAGATTCAGCCGCTGCTGAAACTGACTGCCAGTTCTGACTTACATACAGATTCAACTTAAGAACCCCAAGCATCCCCAAGTCAAAACTGATCAGTGGCTGATTCCAGGAAGCCTGGGGCAGAGCAACTCTGCCGCTTAGCCTCCTTGAGGTATTAGTGATTATGCATAACAACATTTGGCAGTGATGATTAAATTCTATGCAGCATTCTGATTATACATTTGAATTTTACTGTGGCTTAGGAAGAAAAGCTTCTAGTACAACTCTGTACAATTGGTCAGATGGATAATGTGGCTGGTTTTTTTTTCTGCCTTCCTTTTGGAACGCAGCATTAGTAGCTATTTTTGGAAGGAAGACAAGATTATGAAAGATTTTAAACTCTTGCTGTGCTATCCAGAAATGTAAACTTTCAGATAGTTCTGTTCCAGGCTGCTCCCGGTGTCTCTGGTCTGCTGGGGACCGTCTCCAGCAGACCAGGGGCACCGCGAGCAAAGCCGCAGCCGCGGCGGGGTCCCGTGCTTCTGAGGCTTTGCTGTGGCAAAGCCTCAGAAGCGTGGGAACCCGCCCGGTGCCCCTGGTCTGCTGGAGACGGTCTCCAGCAGACCAGGGGCACCCGAGCAGCTTACGAACGGGGCTTTCTCCCCCGGAGCTCACAGGTAGCAATCCGCTACCTCGACCTCCGGGGTGAGAAAGCCCCGTTCGTAAGTGCGGATCCGACATAAGTCGAATCCGCGTAAGTCGGGGACTGCCTATAGTAAGATTTAAAATGCTAGGCTCTTACTACATTTAAAAAGCAGAGCTGCAGCGGTTCCGGAGCCAACACAAGTCGGGACTGCTTAGTTCTGACTCACGCTGCCCTTGGAGCTATCCTCTTCATCGACTAGTTGATTAGGCAATGGAAATTCCATTGGCTACTCGATTAGCTTACTAACCACAATTTAACATCCCTAACCTATACTAAATTCAGGAGAAACCATCCTCATTTTGAGGCCACCTAACTCGCAGCTGCCGAGGAAGCAGTTAAATGGAATGGAGGCTCCACTCTTGTCCAAGGTATGGGTCTAACAACTGTTCAGAGCTATATCAATGGAAAACCTGGGAGGAGCTACATTGGCTTCCGCAAGTGTCTCCAGATTCATCATGTCAAAGTTGAGGGTAGGATTTGGCCTGAGATATTTAACTTCTCTAGTAAAAATTGATAATCATCTACTGGCAATAGATAAAGGCTGGAGACCAGTCCCTGACTAATTCCCCGTTGTGCTATCCCAGTAATTCAAAGGGATGCATCCAAGAATTCCCCTCAAGTAGGCTCACTGCTACTCCCTCTCAATCTTAGATGAGATTGGAGTGAGTGACATGCATCCCCAGGCTGCACAACAGCTCCTAGGGGGCCACTACCAGCAGCTCAGAACCAGTTCTAACTTTTACCTGGACTGAATCAGCCACCAGCTAGAAGGAGCACAAAGGTGGTTTAGCCCACATCCCACACAGAGCAACGATTGGCTGGATCCAAGGATTTGAGTCCACGTGGCTATTTATATGGACTGGTAGCTGTTGAACTGATCACATGAGCAAGGCTGCTTGGCCCAGAATTTTACTATATCATTAAACTGCCTGGATGTTTCTAACAAGAGAAATTCTATTTCCTGTCTACACTGTAGCCCAACGAGTGCACTTGTTCGGATCTGAAGACAGTAATTCTTTGTGGCCCATACCCTGCCCCATCCCACCTGGGTGCAGAAGGTCTTCTACACAGCCAAAGAGCTGTAGTTCCACTATGGCATGTGAGCACTGGCAGATGGCAGGGCATTTACACCTGCTGAATGCCATAAAGCAGGGTTCTCGGGACAGTCACACACACTCGCTCTGAAGCAGTAAGGTAAAGCTGGAGGACGGGCTGCTTCGTGTGACTTCAGATCCTTTCCCCACTCAAGCAGAGATAGCTGAAGGGTCTGGAGTCATATTCTCTTATCTCCTGGGAAATCCCAGCCTCAACTGCTCAGTGAACCAGCTGTGTGCTTTGGGGAGTGCATTGCTTCCTCTCTTCCCTCCCCTTCCTGCCTCCCTGGAGTTCTCCTGTGCCTACTTAACACACGCAGTGTGGTGCAGCATGGGGTCATTAACACAGCTCCTTGTGTTTTGTCCTAAAGATAAGGCTGCGCCATCTCACATTAAAAAACAAAACAAAGAATGCCAAGTGGATTATTCCAGTCCATGTCAGAGAGAATTAAGGGTTAATTCTCTTATCAGAAAAAATACTTTTCTATCTTTCAACACAGTTGGTAAATGGTCATTTACCTTTGAGAGCTTCTGGGTCCCCAAGGATCCTGTTCAGTGTTTCTTGTGGGATCTTCTCAAAGGCTTCATTGGTTGGAGCCAAAAGTGTGTACTGACCATCATTTTCTAACAAAGTATTAAGACCGGAAGCAGCCACAGCAGCCTTTAAAGGAATGGGAGGAGAGAGCTAGAACACACTCAAGAACAAAGGAGGAAAACTCATGTGTTTTCACCTAGACAAAGGCTATGGACCAGACTTTTAAAAGCATTTGGTGCCTGCTTGCATTTGTAGGTGCCAAAATACCTTTAACAAAGCTAGCCCCACATACTTAGCAATATCTTACCCTTCAGGCAGGCAATGTTTGGAACACATCAGTCTGGAGAGAAACTTCCTAACCAGTGGTTTAGGGCTTTCTCCAATACCCAATGAAGTCAATGGAAAGGATCCCAGTGACTTCAAACAGCACTGGCTCAACTCCTTAAGCTGATTAATTAGGAAGTGTCTGTGATTAAAAGTTAAAATTAATCTAAAAGATGTGCATTCACAATTAATACTTTAGTTTGGCATGTTATCTTGGTCAGAGTTTCTGAACAGTAACTTCTAATGCCAGGACTTCCACAAGAAAATAAGAGTGAGGCCTGGAAACATTTAAAAAAAAAATGTACCTCTATAACTGTCAGTAAGAGGTGTGATTTGATACTGTCACAGTTACACCAGAAAAAGCCTCAGTGTAGCTAGTTATACCAATGTACGATGCTTTATACTGGAATAGCTTAGACCAGGTCTACATTCGGAGGCAATGTCAAACTAAGGTACACAATTCCAGCTACATGAATAGCATAGCAGGAGTCGACATATCTTACTTTGAGTTAGTTTGCATCCCCACTGCAGGGGGTTGATGGGAGCACAATCAGCTGTTGATTGAGCGGGTCTTTAGTAGACCCACTAAATCAACCCCTTGGATATTGAGTTCTGTAGCACCAATTTCCCGGTAAGTGTAGACAAGGCCTTATTCTGATTTGGAATAAGCATAAAGCAGTAAAACTTTAAAGTGCAGACAAGTCCTTGGTGACATCTAGCCCACTGATATTCAATGGGAGTTGGACACCTTTGAAAATCATGAATGATAGCATCAACTATCCCATGGTGAAGCCCTGAGATGAACTTACCCGAAGAGTTTCAAGACTCTCCTCAATCTCAATGACTTGCTGAATAGTGTTTGTTGTGGTGGCGATGACTTTATCTATCAGATGGACCACTCCATTGGTTGCATGATGGTCTGCTTTCAAAAGTCTGGCGCAGTTCACGGTCACGATCTGCAGGGGAGATAATCCAGAGAGGATAGAGTTCAACTTATTAAAAAAGAACCTAACAATCCACAAACTGCATTAGTACCAAGAAAAGCTAAAAAAAATGGGTGTAATCCTTTGTTTCAAAGAGAATGCCATGGTAATAATTATCAGGAGGCAACCATGTCTTTCTGGGAAACTGCTCTAAGGGGCTATATTACAAACCATTCCTCTATCGGGTAACTCTACTGTTTGCCATCTCTGAGGCTCACCAGCATGCAGCTTGTTTAACATGTCCCACTATGCAGGAAATAAAAACAAATTACTAGCCAAGCTAAAATTGCACAGAAACTACAAGATCCTTCCTCACTCGAGTGAATATTCCAGTGACTGCAGTTTTCCTGTAAACAAGAATTACTCAGGTGAGTAAGGATTGCAGGATGAAGGCCTATATCTAGAAAGATCTCATTCAATTATATTCTGAAGATGTGGTTACCCTTTTTAACTGCTTTTGGATACCTTTAATTACCACTAATTCATATGTGCTAGGTTAGATTCATTATGTAGCTAACTGCCTTTTAGTTTCATACTTAATACTATAATGACTCTGAAATCATGCTTTTCAATCCATGCTCCTGGAATTCAGCTCTGTAACCAGAAGTTCAAAACCATATTTGACATAATTATACTGCAGCAAATCCACTCTCACTGTAGCATGAAGTATAAGCAAATACACTTGGGTAAGCATGCTGATGTTTACATAACATTACTACAGCATCATCTATGGAACTAACCGTGTATAAAAATTCAAGACAAGCTCCTTGTGCACCTACATACTGAACCAGGTGTAGGTTGCACTCTCTGGTCTGGCATGATTTTAGTTAGTTGGATAGACACTTATCGTGGGTGTGACTAAGTTTTCTGCAGTCCCATAAAGTTTGTTTACAGCCACCAGTCCTGACTCTCAGTGTTCTGTGTTATTATTTAGCTCTAATTTATCCCAAATGTCTTCTAAGAGCCCAGTGGTAGTGTTGGCAATGCTGCTAAACAATATTGACTTCCTGTGGTTTGGCAAATTGTCTGGTTTGGCACCGGACAGATCCTGAGGGTGCTGCACTAGAGAAGTTCTACCGGTATTATATATATTATTACCCCCATCTACTTATTTATATTTCTTATGTATATCCAAGCATCTCTATTAATCGTGGGCAACTTGTGGCTCATGCACTCCCTGTCTGTCCCTCCTCCCCTAAGCACCTTTCACACAATGGAGCCCCACACTTCCTAGTCCTCCCCCTTCCTCCCAGCACTTTCGGAGCATCACGTATCTGCTGATTCATGCTCCATCCCCACTCCTCCCTCTTCCTCCCAGAGCTTGAACATTGTGAATCAGCTGTTTGCGGCTGTTCAAGCACTGGACAGAGGTGGAGGAGCAGGGATGCAGCATGAATCAGCACATACACGATGTTCCGAAAGTGCTGGGAGGGTGGAGGAGGAGGAGGACGTGAGGGGCTCCAGTGCCCCTAGTGAGCAAGAGGCACATGGGCAGAAAGAGAGGGGTTTGCAAACCACAGATGGAGCCCAAGAGAGCCACAGGTAGCTCACCCAAGGGTGGCCTATGACTATAGGCTGACTCGGCAGTCGCCTAGGGCGCCGCCTTCAACGGCTCCCGATGATGATGTCACAGGGCGCCCGATGATGACGTCACTCCATTGACGGACACGCAGGCAGGGGTGCCGATCATGTGTTCTGCCTGGGGCGCCAGCTACTGCAGCCTGCCTCGGGCTGCTCCTGAGCTTGCCACTAGCAATCATGCAGCCCACAGAGAGGAAGGAGGGCCAATCCTGCAGCCCCCCGCCCCTTCCCCGCACTCATCTTGGTTGCCCATTGCTGATCTATATTCTGCTCTGAATCAGCTCCTTCATGCACTCCACCTTACTGCACTAAACTGAGCTCCAAGAGAAAAGAGAATCAAGCAGAGTCTACTACATGTTGTGACCTGTATGCTCACTTAATTTGGGGCTCAATCCTATGACATGCAGAGGGCCTTCAATTCTCATTGAGGTCAATGGGTATTGATTATCTTCCTGAATCAGACCCTCTTCCTCAGAGTTTTTGGGTCTATTTATCATTAATGTTTTACAAAAATAGTACACTATAAAAATACTGGGGTAACTTGGCATAGCACCAGGGATTTGCTTCAATTTATTCCATTTGTGGATCTGGCCCCCACTGTTATAATAGCGCAAGTAATTCACTTACTCCATTAGGATAGTGGTGGATCTGAAGATCAATATTCTGGTACATTGAAGGAAGAGACATTCCATGTTTCAGCTCATCTGTTAGCACCCGTCTGTTCACCATATGGTAACGAAGAGCATTTAGCAGTTCAATATTAACATTGCTGACCAAAGAATCCAACATTTCCTGAAAATAAGCAGAAATCAAAATATTGCCTGAAAATTACTTTGTGTCCTTACATTTAGTGGAAATCGAATTCTGTCCATAGCAGCACCCCTGTCTTTAAACACAGGGATCTTCCAACATGGATCCTTACTCCTAAATGGACTTCTGCAGAATGCCACACAAGTGTGAAGTTCCCTGGAAACACGTTTCACTAATCTGTTAATCAAAATTTTGTTGAGGAAAAATAGATCTAATATTATTTAAAAACTAAGTTGTGCAAACCAAAGGGACACATTTGTTTTGTACTTTACAGCCGTAACTTTCCAGTATACTTAGCCATATCTTTGTATGTCTCTAGCCATAACCTTTCATTTATGATCATCACTTGTATTGTGGTAGTGCTTAGAAGGGGCATCCTGGAGGTGGGGTGAGTCCAGCATGGCTTAGTGGCTAGGGCATTGCCCTGGGGAGTGGGTGGTGGGTTCTAGTCAGCCCTGTTTCCCCCTGGGAGCAGATAGGCAAACAAGGTTGGTGCTCCAATGTGCTACATAACAAAAAGATGGTCATGGCCCAATATCTATTTATTTACTGTTAAAAATATACACTTTTGGAGTAGTGTCAGCAGACCAGCCAACGAGTCTGAATTCTTTCTCTCTGGTCAGGGCGGCTTGCACACTTGTGCGACATGTGGTGAATGCTTTTCCATTCAATGTGTCATTGAACTATACAACTCACTGTCACATGAAGCTGAAGTCAAAAACTCAAAACGAGAGATTGGACATTTATATGCTTCACGAGAATATCGAGAGTTATCTTAATTAAAAAGCCACAAAAAACCCACGAGAGGGATAGCAACACTCATGCTTCAGAACTTAAGACAATCTTTAACTTGCTGCTGGACTAGATGGACCTAGCTCGGCTCAAACAAGGCAATTCCTATGCGGAAAGCTTACGTTGCCTATCAGGACTGTATCTATCATGCAGACAGAGGACTCTGCTACAAATCTAGACCATTTGGGGAGAGGAAGAGAAGGAAAATGGATTGAATCTTACAGCAGGTAAAGCTTTCCAGGCCTCATTGTTTGGGGCAAAGATGGTAAAACTTCCAGGTCCTTCGATTTCTGGTCTCAGGTTCGAGCTGTCGGAATAAAGTTGTGTGGTGGAGGCTCCAACAATCCCCAGCGTTTCATAGATGTTTGAAAGCGGCAATGCTGAAAGAGGAAAATATCAAATTTGACCACAGTCGTTCTAGCAGGCAGCCACCCCATCTCGCTGCACACCGCTGAATTAAGGACAGAGCTGCTGGCAAAAATATATCTGGAAATGCAACATGTCAGTGAAATTAGACATTAGGAGAACTATTTGATATAGGTCTGTGCGCTCCCCTCTATTTCCCATGCTTTATTGCACCTGCCCCAAAACTTTGCAGTCCGAAAATGGAGACAGAATCTGATCTTGATTACAGCAGCATAAATCCAGAAATGGCAACCTTACATGGAGGCCCTTTGGATTTATATAAATGAAAAACTACAGTCAAAACCTGGCCCAGATAACTGGGGTTACAAACTCAAGAACCAAAAGCAGTGGAACAGTTTCACTTGGTCAGTCATCAGACCCGATGTTGCACATTTTTCCCTGGTGGTTCATATTTAGGGATGTGGGCTTGAATTTGGCAGCTTAGATCTTGTACATTTTCTTTTTAGGAGATGTAAATGTACCTCCCTGCAACTGCCCGATTCCCCTTGGGACGCAGTGTATCTCCCTGGAGAGTGATGGTGTTACTTTCCCTCAGAGCTGCCCTGATCTCCACTTGGACTCCCTAATATCCTCCCCTCACTCCCATAGAAGTGGCCTATGGGAGATACTGAATTAATGCGTAATAGGGATGTTAACATGTGTTTATTTTTGTAAACTGCTGCTGAAATTTTCATTGGTTACATGTTTACACGCATCGGGGGCAGGCTCCTGCCTCCCCCCCCCCCCCATGATGTTTTCCCTCTCCCCCATGGTGCCTCTGCTACGCTCCTGCCTCTGTGGGAGGCAGGTGGTTCGGGAGTGGGGGTCTCATGTGTACCGGCTCCTGGCTCACCCCTTCCCCTGTGCTGCTTCCTCGGATACAGCAGGGACATCATGCCCATAAGAATGATTCAAAAGAGATGGCAAAGCAAAAACCATTTCTTTTTTACTATAACTGGAGGGTTCCCTGCCTCTTTTTTCAAAGTTACTGAAGTATAGCAAATCCTTTGCTAAATGCATAATCATCAAATCAATAAGCATGCTCTGGAAGACCTGTGTGCTACTAAAGATAGTTTTATATTACATTTCCAATAAAGTTATATTTCCCATTGCAATGCGTATTTTTAACAGACTATACTTAGAATAATTGTGTTCAATAGTTTGAAGTGGTTAGAACATTTCTCACAACTTTGCATGTTACTTCTGACAAAGTGGGCTCTAGCCCACGAAAGCTTATGCCCAAATAAATGTGTTCATCATTAAGGTGCTGGTTGTTTTTGCCCACACAGATTAACATGCCTACCCCACCGAAATGTTGCAGTACTGTAGCTAATGCGTGCCATAACTTTGTGCTCCGCTTGGTGGGTTTACCCATTCATGGAGGTGAGTGCCCAAAATCCCGCACAATCCTAAGGATCAAATTCATTTTTCACAACTGTCCATGCTCAAGTTGTAGAATTCTAAAGCATCTATAGAAACAGAACACATTTTTACCAGCTGGGCAGCCTTTTTCTCCAGGTACCTTTTCATATCCAGGGCAGCACTCATAGCTGATCACTCTGTAAGAGAGGGAAAAGACAAAGCAGATAATAGCAAACAGTTTTTCAATCCATGCTGCTTCTATTCAGGCAGCCCAAGATCATCATGGAAGAACAACTGCTGTTGTAACCTTCGGCTACATTTCCAATGTATGCTGTGCTGAGGATCTAAAGCAGATCCTTCCTGGTGAAATAACTAGCTGTACTTTGGGCACAACTACCCTTAAAATACTGCATTAAGGCAAATATATTGATGCGGTGAGGATGTAGTGCTTACGTGAAGTTGCTCCTGCTCTGATGGGAGAGGTGATACCTATAACGACAGGAGACACCCTCCTGCCAACGCAATGCTGTCTATACTGGCGATTAGATCAGTATAACTACATGGCTCAGAGATGTGGATCTCTGACGTAAATCTACAGTAGACCAATGTTCCTTCTAACCTTTTCCATCCATGTGCAGAATAATTTTATGTGAACTAAGGCATGTGCAAATGTGCACTATCAGTAGAAACAAAATATTTAGCTCTGCTGGGTGCTCTGCTAATCATCTGGGTGGCACTGGAATCTCTCCTGAGTGGCTGCACAGGCTCACAGGAAACACTGGTGTAGTCTCAAGCTTCAGTCTTTGCAATATCCCAGCATAAAACAAACAATATTTCCCTTGATGGTTTGTTCACTACATATCCAAACAGGGGGCTACAAAACAATCTTAGAATGCTAGCTGAGAGAGTAGAAATGGTAACTGATTCACAACGACCATCGCAGCAGGATTAAGATTTTTATTTTATAAAGCAGCCTGGAACTTGGCCTGCTAAACCCAGGGTTGTGAGTTCAATCCTTGCAGAGGCCATTTAGGGATTTGGGGCAAAAATTTGTCAGGGATGGTACTTGGTCCTGTTGTGAAGGCAGGGGACTAGACTTGATGACCTTTCAAGGTCCCTTCCAGTTCTAGGAGATAAGCAATCTTCATTAATTTATAACTCAAATATCACTATCTTTTTTTTTTTTGGTAGCTACACTGATTCATTTAAAAAAATTGAAGTGTGTTGGATGTAAGTTATATTTCTGATGCATGCAGGGACCTACAATGAAAAAGAATTATGAGCCATAGTGGACAAGGATGTAAAATCCTGGTTAATTAGTTAACCAGTTAAACCTCAGGTTTTATTATTTAATGAACCCCAAAATCTTTACAACAATGACGCTATGGCAACAAAAAACATACAGGATTCAAGCAACATTACTTCCTCACAGGAGGTGAGGCCATACCTTCAAGAACCAAAATAATTGTTCAGATTGCATGTTGCTCTTCTAAAGTCCACAGCTCAATTCTATTTTCTTCTATGGCAGAAAAGGTATAAGTTGACTGAAACTGTACATTAAGGGTATGTCTAGACTACAAGCCTCTTTCAAAAGAATCTTTCAAAAAAGCTTTTGAAAGAGACGTCTAGACTGCAACCACTTCTTTCGAAAAAAACGAGCCGCTGGATTCTCTCTTTCAAAAAAGCCCTGTTTGTATTCAAGAATGCCTTTTTTCAAAAGAGCACTTTCAAAAAAAGGCATTCTTCCTCGTAAAATGAGGTTTACCACGGTCGAAAAAACTGCCGCGTTCTTTCAATTTACTTTCGAAAGAACACAGCAGCAGTCTAGACGCAGGGGAAGTTTTTTCGAAAAAAGGCCACTTTTTTCGAAAAAATCCTGTAGTCTAGACACACCCTAATAGTATGACATGTTTGAGGCAGAGGAAAACTTATTCAATGTTACTAGTGTTCATTACTTTCTTTGGCTTGGAGTTACAATGTGATTTAAACAATATCTGGAGAACTCAGCAACAGTCCCTTGTGCCTATTTGGTAAGGAATGATGCAGTAAGAGCCAGTTTACTTTACCACATTAAAACAAGCTATTTTGGTATCTCGTGGGCTTGTGTACCACATTTAATCACAGTTTGAGTAACACACTGCAATTCTATTAGAGTTTACTTTAAAAAAATCCAGTGGTCAGCCCAACTCTTTCCTTTAGAAAAGCCATTAGCTCATTTACAGCAAGCTGTAACAGAGCTTTCAGTTTCAGCCAAAGCTTTGGAACGTTATTAATTAGCAGGGCCGATTTGTTCACTGACGGCAGTTATTTACAATGAGTGGGAAGGAGAGTCTGCAATATTTTATTCACACTGACAACAGGCGCCAGAAAAAAAAAATCACTGGAAGTGGCAAACTTAAATCCATAGCCCGTGCGTAAATTACTGCAATATGTGAACCAGTCATCGGTAACATTTAATGAAGTTCCAAGGATTTATAGCAGAGACTAAACCACTGATTGATTACAGAACTGTCAATTTCAATTCATCACCAAATACTTATTCTCTGCCTGGTCTGTTATATAACGAAACAGCCCCAGCAATAAGCCAGATCCTCACCTCACTGGGGTCAAGCAAGTAACATTGATTTACAGAGATTTACATAATTAGGACACTGCCATTTGTTTACCGTTCAATAAATAAGTAAAGACAGATGCCATGTTTTCAGATCTGTCCCCTAAAGAAAATGTGTGTCCATATCAACAGGAGGGGTGGGGGAAATGCAAACAGAATCTTACAAATTTGTTTTTTCTCAGAGGTTTGTTTTACTTTATCTTCTCTGCTGTTAGACGCGGACAAAACAATGTGATCTTAGTGTCGCCATAGTGGAGAAAAGCAAGCATCCCTCTTACAAAACACTCTTCCCCCACTCCTGCATTTCAAAGTACAATTGGACTGGAGGTAAGACTGACATTGCAACCCCAAGAGCTGAGTTTCAGAGAGCCGGGTTACAAAATAAAGGAAAATCCAGAGCCTTCATCATTTGAACACTGTTTAAAAACAAACGAACAGTGAAAATGCCTTGAATTTAAAATAGAATTATTCCTCTGCGTTATTAAGCATCAGTAAGTGAAACAAATACCTGCACTTCTGTGACAGCAGCAAATAAATTCTGTGTCATTGTTTCCTAACCACATTACAAAGCAAATCCAGACTGACTGTCTAGACATTATATATTCCACGTGGGAAAGCATTTGCCTAAAGCAATCACTTCCTTGGGCTATTTGGGATCCTAACACCCTGCAGTTCCACTTCTCAGTTACCCTATTTTCCATGTTCATTAGTAACACACACTTTTGTCTCCCCTTGTCCTGCCCCCATAACTCTACCTAATTTCCATTTCTCTTTTTCCACCAAAGAAACTAACTCAAGTCTAGACAGTTCCTCAGCGCAGAACTGTAATCGAAGGCAGGGAGCTGATGAAACAGAAATCATCCCCAGGCTCAGCATCAGTATTCTTGAGCTCTGATGTACATCATTAAAAGGTTTATTTACAGATTGATTACAGATTAATGAGCTATAGCCAACAGAGCAGGAAGCTGCTGATACACATCACAGAAAATGGTCTAAACGCTTTCAAGGAAAACACTGAAGGAGGCTGCCCCCAGCAAGCCAAAGGCTGCTGAGGGTGGTATAGTTAGAACATAAGAACGGCCGTACTGGGTCAGACCAAAGGTCCTTCTAGCCCTTTATCCTGTCTGCTGACAGTGGCCAGCACCAGGTGTCCCAGAGAGGGTGGACCGAAGACAATGATCAAGCGATTTGTCTCCTGCCATCCCTTTCCAGCCTCTGACAAACAGTTGTATCGGCAGATAAAAACTGGAACCTCTTACTCACAAATGAGCACGCCATTGGGGCCCTCAGTCAAAGATACTAACTGGAATGAGGTAATGGCTCTAGCGATGACTCCCACAGTACCACTTTCTGCCTCTGCCAAGAGTGAATCCTATAGTGCCGGTGGCCTTGCAGCTATTGGAAGGCATCACTTACCAGATGAATGTGCCTGGAGAAGCCACTGTGTGCACCAAATATGCCCATTGTCCTCTCACCTTGCTATCTATTTCCTAATTGCTTTCCCACACTACCCCATTTTCAGTTTTAAAAAACTGCATATCCCTCATCTCTCTCCCGTTGTGTCTCATCACCTGCTGCCATCCTTTCCTGCCTCTGGCCAATGTAATGGTCAGCTCTTCCAGGTAAGGGCCATCCCTCTTCTTTCACTTCTGAGAGGGACCATACTGAATTTTTAAATTGCTGACATCACAACATCCCTGGGGAGGCCAAATCAGGACTGTAGAAGAGTTCTAGCCATCAGCAGCCAATCAGAGGGCACCAAATATTATTACTGGCCAATGGAACGGATGACAGCCTAGAACACACTATCAATCCCAACCATCAGGGTCAGAGTTCTGATCTTCAGTTGAAGAGTGGCCAGCTCCATATCAGCTGGAAAAGTAAAAAATGCTGTACATCCCTCTTCTCCAACCTGGAATTTGTGTGGCTGTAGCTATTTAGGTCTTTCTATGGTGCTCAGACCTGTGCCACAATACATTCTAAGATACTTCAGTCAGTACAGAAGGTGGGTTGTTAAGTATTAACACTGTAGGCTGTAGCCCTTCTTCTCCAGAACCTCCCCTATATTCCTATTAGCTTCTGGGACAAGCCAAGTTGTTGATTTTCATCTATAAAAGCCCCAAAAGGTTTACATCCTGACTATCTGAAGGAGGCCTCATGGGGAGGTTAGCTGGGGTAGATTATCCCTGTAAGCAGGTGAGATCAGCTAATGTGCCCTTGCTCTAAGGATCTTGGTGCCACAAGCAAGGAAAGTATTAAGTAGCTCTGGCTGTGAAATTGGCTCTTGCAGTCCATCAGAGCCAGATTCTATGTTTCAGAGCATGAAATCAGGCTGACTGCTTTTAACTTATGAAGACTGATGCTGCGGCGATCGATCTTCTGGCATTTGATTTAGCGGGTCTAATAAAGACTCACTAAATCAAATGCTGAGGGCACCCCAGTGAATGCCAGAACTCCTACTCCTCACAAGGAATAAAGGAAGTCAATGGGAGGATAACAACACTAAAGCTTGGTTTAAGGTACATCGACTCCAGCTACATTTTTTACATAGTTGGAAATGTGTACCATAAATCAACCTTCAGCTGT